ACTCAAAAACTCAAATCGCAAACGAAACCTCAAACAAACACCAGTTCATACCTTGCTCCCATCGTGGTCGCCAGAAATGTTCGGAAGCAGTAACGAAAATCTCCTTTAAAAGCAGGCAGCGTTTAATAGGTAAAAAGAGAGTAAAACGGTAACGGCTTAAAATACAAACTTAATAACAAAAACCTCCGGAAAACTGAAAAAAAAAAAAAAAACACACGCGAGAAATCGCACGTGTAACTTCTACGAACTGATTACATTTCAGAGAGGATGTCAGTTTTAACAATAACCAATATAATAGAATCTACTGAGGTTCTAGCTTTTAAAAGACAAAAGGATGGTTATAAAGTTACTGTAAAAAGTTCTTTGTGTATTTGTGTTGTTCTATCGTGATACCAACACAAATGAATATTTACCGTGTATGAAGATTTTTGTTTAATTGAATCGAAAATATTACAAAATGTTACTTTTGTGGTCATTAATCGTTGTTTTAATAGCAGCGTAGCAGTTCAAAGCGGGTTGTTGCTTCAACGTTATTGAAATTTATAGTGTTCTGGCAGGAGAGCAGAGCGTGATGCTCTGGGAATAAAAACTCTTAGGGGCCTTTTACATGATATCGGAATGAGTTTTGTTCAAGAACGAGTTCATCCCGGTTGCCACATGATACCAGAGTAAAATAATTCGAAACGAGTCATTTCTGAATGAGTTTATTGAGGTTTTCATTCCAGAACGAAACACTGATTCTGGACGATCTTATTCTTATTTCAATCCCTACCAAATTATGTCATGACGAACAAAAAAAAAAGTACAGCCGTCCTGCTCCGAAGCAGGACAGATTTTGTCAGCATAAAAATCTGACAGATCAGTGCCTAAAAGTTTTTATAAGTAAATAACTAGTTCACGTGAATTTTACGAGGCGAGACTGACAGCTCGTATTTGGCAAATCACATCTTTTGTTTTTAGGCGCTGACAGAGTTGGTGGGGGAAGAGGGAGGGGGGGGGGGGGAGGAGGAGGCGATCGGAAATAGGTGAGGATGCTTGTCGTACCTTTTACGGTGTCTCAAACTTTTCGTGTACTACCAGAGACCCAGCTAGTACCTTTTAGGGCGTTTTTCGCTCAATGAAATACCTGAAATAAGCATTACTAGGACGATTTCAATGACCTGACTTGAGCTTCTGGAGCACATCGATAAAGGAGTTCTTATTTTTGGGATTTTTCAATTTTTTTGTGTTTAAATTGTTACTTTTTAAGGGTAGATATCAGTTGTTGCCACTCCCACACGGATAAGACTCAGGTACCTTTTATAAATTTATAGGAGTCATTTACAAAATTCCCGGCGCGCATCCTCGCCCTCTTATGTATAGGGGTTCCCCGGGGGGTGCTGATATGTTCAGCACACTTGAAATTTAGCAAGGACAAATTTTGATGTGATTTTCGGTGAAGAGAAAAAAGTTTTGTCAGCGTCTTGTAGCTACTGCGGAAGGGCCCTTTACCACTGCGTGCTTAATTACGCGTCCCGCCAGACAGCGGGAAGCTTACAAGGTGCTCAGACATTGGTATAGAAAATTCCGCCTCTGTCTGGATTTTTGGTAGCCTATTGACCAATTCCCAATCGAAGCCTAAGTCTGACGAGACGTGTAATTTTGCACAAGGTGGTAAGTAGCCGGGTTATATGAATTTTCCAGATGTCTTGCTTGCTATCTGTGGTACACGCTTGCCAGTTCCCCAATAGGCATTTGGAATCGACTTAACCCTACCTTTACTATGGCCGCACACTTCTTTATGCACTCTACATCTACTAATGGAACCACGAATCCACCCAACACCGGTACCTTGATTTGATCTATGAATGGGGCAAATTGTAAAATCATCGATATCTTTTGGCGTGTCTAAGATGCCGGCTCGCGACAAAATAAGATCAGCTTCAGTTTCTGGATCTCCGCAAGTAACTTGAAATGTCTTTTTTATAACTACGCAAGGGAACGACCTGAGATATGCAACGTCGGTCTTCTTGATAACTATACCCAAAAGACCCACCAGCTAACGATTTAAATGAACAGCAAATCTCCTTGTTAGCATGTAAGATGAGACGCTCATACAACAGATCAATTAGCTAAATCAGTATGTGCCTTGTCAATCGAATTGACTTTTGTAAACATTCTTTGACTTTTGCCGGCAAAGGAATCATTTATGGATCTGAACGTTTTACTTTTCTGAATACAGTAGTTCTTGGAAGGTTTTTATAGATATGAAAAGAGGGAAAAAAACCCATCTCTTGGTAATTCGGAGGTTGATTCGTCTTTGAATTTAGGTGTCACGCTTGTCATGCGACTAATATAATAATGTGGGCAAGATTTACAAACTGCAAATTAAATCTGGCTAAAATGTGGTAGAGCATAACTTGATCATCGAAACAGCTAATAATGTGATAAATAAACAAGGTAAGAGTGTCATGTTAGATTTCTTTACAAAATATCGTGATTTATGCCAGTAAACGGTACTGCTGACGGATTATTTAATTCTGCTGACGGATTATTTTATTTTTTATTCTGTGCATCTCATTTTAGCTGAGATGCTAGTAGACACCCAAGGTAAAGTTTCCATTCAAATTTGTTAAAATATACTTAAGGACATTCGCAATGATTGAACTCTAAGAAGAAGCTGATTTGATTGTACTGTCACACTCATATATGTAACAGAGCATCCTTTCCCACTCCCAAGGAGAGAGAGTCATTTGACATGTAACAAAAGGGACCTCTAACAATTTAAAATCAAAGTTCCTTCAATGACAGACGTCAGTAAATGCAACCTATCCCAAATTATAATACTCCAGCAACATCTGAAGCACAGGAACCAATACGCTGGTAAATATTGCATATTGATGTCGATATGATTGTGAACGATATGATGTAGTTGTACATGGGAGACGTGTCGGCTTAGCTCTGTACCTACATAAAAGATTCGGAACCATGGCTTTTTGGCCAAACTTATCCAATCGGTAACAAGAGAGCATCGCTGGATCAATTGGCTTCCCGCATTTGTCTCTCTGTAAAGGAAGAGGAAAGATACAGGCCTTCTGGTAAAAGTGAGTGTTATAGCGAGGGGAGAAACCATTCGGCCAAAGTGGAAAATTGAAGCTTAACGAAAATTTAACCAAAGCGAAGAACAAAACAACTGGTGTAGCCGGCCGGTTGAGGATGGAGCAAGTGATTCTGGGATTGCCTTCACCCTACACTGAGGGCACAAGGCAGACCAACAGAGAAAAATATAAGAATAACTGTGAATCGATGAAAGGGGAAGAAAGAAGAGAGGCAAACTCAACCCCGGCCCGGCGGACACTGAGACCTCAGACTAACACCTATCAAAGACATCTACCACTGTTGTACGCTTAAGTCATATGCGATCAGTCTGGATTGACTAGAATCGTTGTCAGGTAATAAACTTCCCACAAAATGTATGAAGACTTTCAGAAAACCCTAACAGTGAAACGAGAACACAGCGGAATACAAATATCTAAAAAGGAATACCTCTGCACGTCCTTGCATTAAAACTTTGTACATTTTTCAAACAATTTGAGCAAAATGAGAAGAGAAGATAAAAAAATTTTCCGAGTCTGAGGTTGGGAACCCCATAGAAAATCGTTCACGTTTCTACTTAAGGCTCCATTGACACATCATGCTGAAAGGGAGTTCTCGCGACGTTAGAAGAAGTTCAACAATTAGAGCTACTCTCGTGATTCTTAAGAGAAATAAACGTTCATTTTCAGGATGACTTTTAACTTGACGTCATAATATCTCATATACTTCCTGATACATAAATTGAAAATGATCGATTGAAAGATCCTCTAAAAATTGGAGGCACTTACCAGTAGCCCCTTTTGAGTGTCCCAATCAGCCAAGCAATCGATGCTGTTACAATATCGAACATTCTCAGAAATGCTGGGTTTTTGATCAGCAGGACAGTTTGTGCTTGGTCCATACTCTGTAGGGTTGATCTTCTTACGGCAGATGACATCGCGTGTCTGCAACCCATTGCCACATGATCTGGAGCATGTTGACCAATCAGTGGTGTGCCATCTGAAAGCAAAAATTCTTGTGTTACTTATATAGTTAATATAGACACAAGACCGTGGCGCTCAGGCTTCTCTTTCT